TTAAAAGAACCAAAGACTTAAACTACTTCAGTCTGTGTGCATTGAATTTATTTAATACACGAGTTTCACAATTTGAGTTGAATTACTGAAATAAATGAACTTTTCCATGACATTCTAATTTATTGAGATGCACCTGTATATTATGACACACATGTCCATAATAAAGTAAACTGCTATCTTTAAACAATATCAGGTTTTATAGCTTCTATAAACACACAGTACTCACTAAGCATGGGGCGATATTGTAAAACACTGGTCATCAGATGCTCTGTACAAATGCTACTAAACAATAATACGGAGTAACTCACATTTTAGATAAGAAAATATGGTTAGGTATTCTTGTTGATTTTGACTCCTGCAGCAAAAATGGTTACAAAGGAAGCCACAGAAAATCAGCCGTCATGTCTCCGACAAACACATTGTAGTGAATGAATCAATGTTATTGAATGAATCGGTTGAGTGACAGATTCAATGACTCACTTCTTCCTAAATAAATCAGTGTTATTGACAAGTCGGTTGCAGGACTGATTCAATAACTCACTTGTTTGTTTTGAATCGGTTGGTTGAATGAATCATTCAACTCACTCATAAAGACGGTCATCTACACTCTAAAAAATGCTGGGTTAAAAAGGAACACACCCAGCTATTGGGTTGTTTTGACCCAGCGGTTGGGATGTTTTGAACCCAACCGCTGGGTCAAAACAACTCAATAGCTGGGTTTGTCCCTTTTTAACCCAGCGCTGGGTTATATTTAACCCAGCATTTTTTAGAGTGTACTGGTGAACCGACGTAACCTGCATGAAGAAAAGAAAAAAATGCTCTTACCGCAACAGGCTTTGACTTTTAATGCATAGATAATACCAATGAGTGTGGATCAAGAGAGCAAATATATATATATATATATATATATATATATATATATGTGACTGCATCCTAATATGACCCAGAAATGAACCCGTATCAAACAACCCCAGTCTCCTCAGTATTAACAATGAGAACTTAGAAAACTGTCTTTCTGATGATCGGCAGTAACACATCTCTAACTAACTCATCTGTTAGCTAAGCTCTGAAGCCAGATCCTCCAGTGTTTGAACAGTGGGCAGAGCGGACTGTCCGGATAAGATGGATGAACTGAGATGCTCTGTTGCATAAGGTCTGGCTAACTTACAGTGTGCACTTCTCAGGGATCTGACGGCAGCTCATCCATAAGTGACCACCACAGACAGCTGAGAGATGCCTCTGTACCACAATATTTACCCTGCAAATGTTTTGGTTTCCATATTTGCAACTGATAAAGAATTGCACTGTATCCTTGTTTAAAGCTTTATTTCAAAACATGTAAATTAAAAGAGCTAAATTTGTGCCCTTGTTTTTCCTGATTTTTTTTTTTTTTTATTTTTTGTGTTTATTTCAGTGCTGATCCTCCTAGGCTTACATTTTAAGTACATTGGTG